CTGCTCCCCCCCCTCTAGCTGGGTTTGTCAAGTCGCCCATGTCAGAGACTAAGCTCACGGGGGACGCCTTTGAGCTGTACTGTGATGTGGTCGGGAACCCCACGCCAGAGATCCAGTGGTGGTACGCAGAAGTCAACCGGGCAGAGTCTTTCAGACAGCTGTGGGACGGTGCCCGGAAGCGCCGTGTCACCGTAAACACCGCCTACGGGTCAAACGGCGTGAGTGTGCTGAGAGTAACCCGGCTCACCTTGGAGGACTCTGGGACTTACGAGTGCAGGGCCAGCAACGACCCCAAGAGGAATGACTTGAGGCAAAACCCCTCCATAACCTGGATTCGAGCCCAGGCCACCATAAGCGTCCTTCAGAGTGAGTCCAGCACCCTACAGTAGTAGTACTGTAGTCCGTAGAGGTGGCCCGATGACCCTCCCTCGCTTCCCCTCCCCATATGACCGCTCACCCACCCCTTGTCTTCGTTCCTGCAACCCCGCCACCCTCTGGTTGTAGTGTATGAAACATCTGTGGCAACTTCTCCCCTCTGGTCCTTTCCGCCTCCCTCGTCCCCTGCCCTTTCTGTGTCTTTCTCCTCAGGAACAAAGACCTTGAGGAAGGCCGTGTTGTGCACAGTCCTCTGTTCGGGGGTGGGGAGACGGGAGGCTGCAGAGGCTCTCAGTGCACAGAGGCCTCCACGAGGCAGTGCTGGAATCGACTCTCTCCCTCCCCTTCACTCTCGCAGTAGGTGTCCTGCCATCCTCTTGCCGAGTTCTCGGGTGCCTTTCTAGTTCCGTTTCTCTCCCAGTCTAACTACTTTTATTCCTTCTGCTCCTCCGTTTGAAGCTCTCTGAGCAGCTGCCTTCACCTCCCTGGTTTCGAGTCCATGTGCACCCCACCTCTCCCCTCCGTGTGACTCACGTGGTCCGACCTGTGGTGGGAATGTTGCCGTGGGTGCAGTGGCGTGTGCGTTGGCTGCCGGGTGGCATGTGAGCTTGGCGTCTGTGTCCGGCCCTCTTCTTTTCCGCACAGTGGCGTGCGCTTCTCTGGTGCCAGCCCCCACTGCAGCAGTGCCCCTCCTGGGCCTGCCCTCTGAAAGCAGCAGCCCGAGGGTCTCTCCAGGTGCCCCGCCCTCAGGAGCCAGGCGACTCCAGACTGCCCAGAGTCATCGAAAACCCTGACGTGCTGTCCAGACAGCTGGGTTCGCTCAGATGCCCGTGGGCATGGTGCTCCTTGTCCTGGAGAGTGACAGCCCAGAAGTGCTCAGAAGCCGTCACACTGGCCTTCCTCTGTGCCTTGACACAGGAGGGGACTGAATTCTGACCTGTGCCTCCAAGTGACGCGGGGCGGACTGGCCGGCTCGGCACCCTCCCCTTCGTCCAGCGTAGCAGGTGCAGCTGAGAGGCGGGGCACGGGAGTGCTCGCAGCTGTCCTCCTTGGGGAGGTGCCTTGCTCCCGGTCTGATGGGGAGGGGAGCAGGGAGAAGCACACAGGACCAGTGTCCCAGCCCGGGAGGGGTTCTAGCTCACAGCGGACCTGCCTCTAACCGAGGGCGCAGTCTCTCTTTAATAGAAAGGGCATCTGGATTTTTCACCTTTTCCTTAAGGACTCTGAGCCTTGAAGAGGCTGGGCTGACCTGTAGCCAGTTCAGGCTTAAAGAGCTGATTGACTTAGGATCAATAAAACCAGTGAAATACTACTTCATGAGGAATCTGGTTCCCCAGAAGGCAGTGTGACATGGCCCCGATCTAGCCACTCAGGAGGAAGATAGCGAAGTCTGCCTCTTCTCCGTAACTACGCTGAGGACAACTCTGGGCAGAAAACAAAACCAAAGCACTTAGAAGAGAGAGGCTGCTGCAGTTGGCACTGTTGGATCAGAGAACCTGCTTCTGGAAAGGGGAAAAGAAAACCTTGTCTCTGTGAACATAGGGAACATTAACCCAGCGATTTTTCTTTTTCTTTTTTTTTCTTTTGTTTTTGTTTAAACAGTTTTTTCCCTTGCACGCCTCCTTCTCCTGCCCCCTTGCTCCTTTCCTTACGGAAGCAGGATATCCCAGATGGCCGAGAGGTCTGGCGAAGTGCGCAGGCGTGGACTGGGCTGGCCATCGACACCTGTGCTCTGAGAAGCCGGGCTCAGCAGCTGTCCTAGAGAGGCCGTGCCTGGGACCTAGAGCAAAATGCGGCTCGGAGTACCTGCCTCCCCGTCCCAAGAACACAGCATTGCCCGCTTGCTCGGAAACAAGCTTTCTGACACAGGGCTCCCTGCATGTGGTGGCCCTCTTGGCTAGTGAGACCCTCTGTCAGCTAACCCTCCTGCTGCTTCGGAGCGCCAGGCCGTTGTGCTCCCTGTTTTCTACACCCTGAATTCGGCTCTAATTGGAGTGTTTTATGATCTCAGCACCTCCAAGCACACTGTCTCTAAGGAGGGTGGCGTCTCCTAAGAACGGCCTCCTGGCAGTACCTTCCCCAGAGCTCTTGAGACAATGTGAGGCAGGAAGAGAAATGTGCCCAGTTTTCAGGGTTCTCTCTGGCCATAGCCTGTTCGTCAGGTACAAATGACAGCTGGACTAAGGGTCTCTGACCCCTGCATCTAAACGGGAGTCCGTGGCAGGTACAAATATTCGAGCTTTGCTAAGTGTTCGTCTCTCTCGAACCTTCACTGAGCAGCACTCGGCCACAGAAACAAGCCTCACCTTCATCCTGGTGTGGAGCACACGCGCGGCATGTGGCCAGCGAGCTCGGTCTAGCACGGGCTCCTCCTCCAGCAGAGACAGGAGGCGGACTGCCCTGCCCCACAGCCCTCCCGTGGTGCAGCATCATATTTACACCTGACTCTCCTGGACCTGTAACACTTAAGAGAAAGAGTGCTTTCCTTTGCCTTCCGAGAGGTCTTGGCAGAAAGTCTGCAGGTTGCTACCGTCAGCCTCTTACGCTCCCTGAGCCGCAGCGGTCGATTGCACCGCCACAGGTAAGAGTAGCCTTACTGCGGCCTCCTTGTCATTAGACATCCGGACGCTCTTGGCCTCACTCCCACAGTTCACCCTTTCTCAGTGCAATCTCAGAGGAAGAACCAGAAGGAGAATCCCATGGGGGACAGAAAACAAAATTGGATAATAAAAATTCAGCATAAACCTGAAGCGTGTTTGGGTTTTAATGTTGCCTTTACATTGTTTGACTCCTCTCCTGTGGAGTACTAGTTCTCTCTCTTTCTCTTTTGTTTTTGCTTGGTTTTGATCTCGGAACTGTGACGCTTCCTGCTGATGGTGTGTATGCGCCTTCCATTGCAGGGTTTGCAGCCGTCTGCTCCACTTCTTAAGGCCCAGGGATTTGGCTTCTGTCCAGTGTGTTTGGGAAACCGGGGGACACCACTGCGCTGACATGTGCCCATGCATCCGCTTCTGTCTCAGTGGCTGCTATGCCTCGTTATCTGTACAGAGACCGGCCCACGTTACTGGTCAGGTCCAGTCCCTCTGGAAGAGAATCACCCTCCTTTGCCAAAGTTGGCAAATGGTTAGACCAGCTGCCAATTAAGCAAACTTAAGGATTTGTGACCAGGAGGGCCTTAGCATTAGGTTCCACGTGCCTCCCGCATCCCTGCCCTTCTACGCTCCCTGAGCAACCGTGGAGGGAGGGCTCCGTCCTCAGGAGCTCAGCACCTGCACTGCGCTGCAGACAGCGGCCAGGGCAGCCGCTGCCAGCTGGGGACAGGAAGCGGGAGGTTAGTCAAGGGGCTCCGAGAAATAACTGGGAAAAAACAGGAAAGAGCAAATATTTCTGATCGTGGATGGGAAAGCGGTTAGCGTAGACTTCACCTGAAAATGTTGACCCAGGTGGAAAAGAACTAAGCCTGGGAAAAGAGGATGAACACAGACGACAACGCAGATAACAGAAATGTCTTTAATACAGTGATGGATTTCAGAGCGCTTTAAGGTGGACCTTGTAGGAATGATGTCGTGTGGCTTTAATATGTGTTACAGTATGTGTCGCAGGTGGGCTCTCTTGGCAGATACAGCAGTGATCCCAGGGTAGAACCAGGAAGTGAGGCACACACCTCGCCCTAGAGTGGAAGGGCTGGGGCGGTCCTGAGGCTGGGGTGGCAGGGAGAGAGAGCTCAGACATGTCCCCAGCCCTGCTTTGCCACCAGCCATTACTTGTGACCTTGCTCGAGGAACTTCCCATTTGTGGCTCTCAAGAAAAGTGGGATTCACTGACCTCCGAGGGCGG